GCTGTAATAGCAGAGGCTATCTTACCAGAGTGGATGAGCATGTGCTGTTTTAGATTCTGTATTCGAGTGAATCGGACGCCACATGTAGGGCACTGGAAGGGCCGTTCAGGACCATTGAGTCCAGGGCGAGTTGAAGGGCTGATGTACAGGTGGTATGGATACTGGACATTCTCTAGCCTGGAGACAGAGCAACAACAAGGCACACTAATTAGATGGATAAGCCAATTGCACACTGACTCTTAGTAATTAATGAAAAGGAACAAAAAGTGTTTTTCAATACAAATTGTTATGCTAACATTAACATAATGCTAGTTTCTGTGCCCGATGATTGGGTTGTTGGCCCTAACCTTCGACCATCACCCGTTCTACAATGCACCAGTCCCTCACAGTTCCTCCTGCAGGAGGATGGTCCCACGTTGCTCCATTGGTGGGATAAAAACCATTTATCCATGGGATAAAACCTTGCCAAATTGCTCCAGGGTGGGGTCCTTGCTGCACCACACCAGGCGATGTCACGCTCCTTGCTGTTATTGTGCTCATAAGAGGTTTTTGTATCGCACTTAGTCTGACCTGTAACCTAAGACCTTTTTTCCATGGGAGACCCTACCCTACCGACAACATAGCCCTTAGAATCACTCTGGCACTCAAACCCCTCCTCCACGATAAGGTAGCGGTTTATGAAGGAGTGGCAGATCATAGAGGAGGTTCATGCTGCCTGGATACCTACCTAGGTAGCTGTTCCAGGTTTTTCCCACTGGGAGGAGGCTATGTGTCTTGGCTGACCTAGGAACACCGTGGGATCCCCCCCAAGAAGCTTGAGGAAGTGTCTGGGGAAAGGGAAGTCTAGGGTTCTCTCCTAAGATTGCTGCCCCCACGACCAGGCCCCGGAAAAGCAGATGAAAATGAATGAATGAATGAATGAATAACATAATGCTGAAAAGGTGGCTCAGTGATAAGCACTGTTGCCTGACAGCAAGAATGTCTCAAGTTCGAGTTTTGGCAGGGCCAGGAAGCATTTAAATATGGAATTTGCATGTTCTCCCCGTGTTTGCGTGGGTTTCCTCTGGGTTATGCTCCGGTTTCACGCACAGACACGCGCTATAGGTGAATTGGCTAAAACAAATATTGGCCATAGTGTACGAGTGTGTGTGTGTGATGAGAGCGTGTGTGGGTGTTTCAATAAACATATGCCAGAGTAACTGGCGGTTCATTCTGCTGTGGCGACCCCTGACAAATCATGAACTAAGCTGAAGAATAGTTGGAATAATGCTGTGAATAATAAACAAACTAATCTATTGTGACTGATGGTTAAACATCATCTGTTAGCTCATCCCTTGATTCAATTTTAAGGGGCATAATGCCATTTCAGAAGGGTGAAAAAACAAAAAAAAGCCATTTTAAAAAGGGATGTCAGCTTTGAGGAATGAAAAATCATCTTCAAAAATCATTTAACTTCATTTTATGCTCCCTTTACATGTACACTTAGGTGAGAATCCAAAGAAAAGAGTCACGCTGTGTATTGAGTATTTTCTTTGAGTTGCGTTCATGCTCCTGTCTGCAGATTCACAGATTACCACACAAAAGTCCTAGGCTAACATATAACACACGTTTAGTCAGGCATATCGAGTTGTCATATAAAGCAGACTCCACTCCTGAGATGGACAGCAGTGTCTTTTTTATCCCATTTGTTTTGCATCATACCATTTCCCTACTCTTCCAGTATTCCAACAGGCAAATTCAGGTCCAAGAAGTTTCCAGAAAGCTTGCCAACCAGCTTCTCTGGCCTCTTGGCAGTAACTCCACATCCTAATAGCCACTACAATATCACAGAAGCCTTTGCTGCTTATAAGTATACAAGAGGAAAGACGATGATGAGAAGACTGATGTCCCTACTCAGAGGGGCCCTTTATTTTAATCATAAAAGTGAGACGTCGTAAAAGCACTCTGTAAAAACAACACAGACACCCAAAGGAGTCATACCTCTCATCCTCCTCCATGTGACCAGTAGTGTTTGGAGTGCCCTGCATGGACTGAAGACCCTCTGTCACCCCCTCATCCATGGAGCCTAAGGAAAGAGTAGAATGTTGTTTTTAAACCATTTCGACTGTAAAACAGTGTCTTTATATTTTGTTATCTACTTTATGTGTAACAGATTAGAGGCCTGTCTCAGACAAAAATGTGCATGAAATAATTGAAATCAAAGCAATCTGATAAATAGCAGTTAAAAAAAAGCTAATTAGACTAGAAAGTATGTCCATTTATAACCTAATCCCATCTAACAATAAAAATACTCTTGTTGCTTGTTGTCTTCTTTATATTTTTATTATCATAATTATAAAAGAAATCTCCAGGACATTTTGATGAATAAAAAGTATTTATTAATTCAAGTTTTGGCTGGAGGTGTGATAACCTCTGTATTATGTTTTCAGAATACCAGCTAACATCAAAATATTAAATAACTCCCAAGTTTGATCCATTGGGGATTCTGACCACCATGCAAAGCAGAAACATTTCGAGATTTATATGTGATACTAAAAGACACTTATACTAAAAACTAGTGTAAAACAATATGCTTATGAAAATAACAGAGACATAGTAAAGACAAATTACATCACTGTAAAGTTTTCCAATTTCATCTGCTTCTGTTTATCTTTGTGCCTTTGCTAATACCTGACCTCTAAATCTGCACATTGCTAAATCACATATTCTCAGGACAACTTCTATAACTCACATAACCAGTCCGTCATTCTTGATGAAAGGAAAAAGGTACATATTAAGCATGTATTAACTATGCAGGTTAAGTATGTACACTGTCAACCCTATACACAACACCCATACTTTATGATTTTAATTGTAATGGCCCTCCAGGACCAAGTTTGGACACCACTGGCCTAAGAGATTGGTTTGTCTATGCATACTAAATATGTATGTTCTCTTTAATGTTAAATAATGATTTACTAGGTTGAAGGTAGATCATTTTGGATGGATATTGATGAGTCGATGCTGTAGTGTTAAGTGAAAGGATTGAACTTCTGTTATATGGTCTGTCTGCTTCTTTTTCGGTTTCAGATTTTTTCGTTTGGTTTACTTTTCTCGAGCTGGTGAAATGATAACTTTTGCTTTAAGGACCCATGTTAAGAGTGGGTTTTACAGTAGAATTGCGAAGCTAATGGTCCAATAGTAAAAACACAGCTTAATTTTGGTCTTGCTGCTTAAGGCCATAAGGCTATTAGATGGATTTCTTGTAAAAAAATAAAATAAAAATTTCTGCAGATTTATGCAGATTTTTTTAAGAGTAAAGGAGCTAAAATTTATGTTAAAAAAAAGTTTTGTAACCTTTATTCAAGTTTTACAATACAAATCCAATTAGAACCATTTGTTTGTTAAACTAAGCTGCAGTTGGTCTCTCATCTAATACATCTACTATAAGTGAATATTACTTTACAAACTGTACCATACACAAATCATCTAAACCTTTGCAAATTATTTAATAATATAATAAAAATAAATATAAAAAATAAATAAATAAATAAATAAGTATAAATTAAGACACATTTAAATAAGTAAATATATTGAATGACAGGCTCAAAAATCTGTGAAAATCTGCTGAAAATTCTGCAGAATACCGCACAGGCTAAGAATGTTATGATACTGGAATTTGGTACCAATCGATACTGAAATATTTAAAAGGTCCATTTCCCGCCAGACACCTGAGCGTTTTGAAGTCGCAAAGATCAGCTGCTTTGTCTATAAGCTGACATAAAAGCGATCCGCTGATGAATCATGGCTTTAAAACGCTCGAGTGTCTCTGTATCTGTGGTTACTCTCAGTAAACAGTGGTGAACTGATGACCTTCACAGCCAATCACAATCATTTCTGTGATTTTGCAGACTTTTCATCTCAAATGTTGGCGAGAAATGGATGATTTTAACATTCCAGTATCGATTGGTACCAAATTCCAGTATCGTCACAACCCTAGCACACAGATTTTGTCTGGCCCTAGCTCTTGGCTCCCGCCAACCCATAGTTAGCCCTGGCTCACTATTCCCTATATAAAAAGTCCTGGGGCTACTCAATGATGGAGATCAACCAGACAGATCTAAAACAGTCCACATATAAACATTTTTCACTTTCTAATTGTAATGATTTGGTACAAGACTGAAGCTGGATGTATTCCTATTAAGGAAGAACATTACTGCAGCTTTTACTTTTATAATTGCAGAAAATATATAGCAAGCGCTGGTGTGACATACCAATCGATGAGGACTGAGGGCTGATGAGTAGATCTTCTTGGTTGTGTTCGTTGCCAGGAACTGTCTGCTGGTCACTCAGTGAACTGTGTGGAGCACTGACTGGTTGAGAAGCCTCTTCATGAACTTCTTCATCACTCAGCCTCTCCACCTTCACCTGCACATCCTCTTCTTCCTCCTCCTCTATACCCGTTGCTCCCCCTACGCCCAGGCCACGGGGACCCTCACAGGACAGATACTCCACCAGAGCCCTTCCGCTAGAGTCTTGACCTGACGCTCCAGATGTTTCCAGAAGACCATCAGGTAGTTTTGACTTCTCTGGAGTAAACCGGCGGTCTACACCGAAGGGGTACGTCCAGGAGAAGGCTAGGGATGGTTCCAGGGCCTGTGCTGAGCTCTCTGGGAAGGAAGAAGAAGAGGGCGAGGGGTTGGGGACTTGCGGAGAGGTAGAGGATGCTGGTTGTGGGCTTGCAAAGCCTTTACGTTTGCGTCTGGACTCACGACACACAGGGATGGGCCGCTCTTGCACGCTGCACTCAGATGAAACCGGAGATGGTGAGAGGGCATCTACAGGGGCAAGGGTGCAGCTGGCATGGCCTTCAGGGGGTTCTTGGGGTCTGTGCAAACCTGGAGGTTGGATGCTACCAGGAGCTCCTGCTCCCGAAGATGCCGCGTTCCACAGGATACTGGACTTCATGAACTCCGAGCAAGTGTTGGCCACTGCAAACATCTGCATGTAGCTCGCTGCAGCCAATACATCGATGATATTCTCCGTACTAATGGACAGAGTAGATGTGTATGCATATTCCAGAAGAGGAGCGAAACCAGCAACCGTCACATGTTGGAGATCAAGCACGTGTTTGTTATCTTCACCGACAATTACAGGGTCTTCTTCAGCCGGCTTCCCAGACAACTTTGCCCGAAGAAAGTCACTACAGCAGGCTAGGACTACCTTGTGGGCTGAGAACAGCTGGCCCTGTACCCGGATGGTGACGTCACAAAAGTGGCCCTCACTGCGCAGGGTGTTAAGCTTATCCAGAAGCTCCTGGCTGTGGCTGGGGGAGTTGTGTGTGAACGTTTTCACACCCATCCTTTACAGTAGTAGGACTGTCTAGAAAAAAACAAAACAAATTAAATACATCATTTTACCAATATTAATAATAACCAATAGTCATCATGTTTACATTCATGGTTATAAGAAAAACAACATTTGATGAATATTAATTGTGACATAAAACGTCAAAATCCAAATATATTGCACCAAAACCAAGCCAGAATTATTTAATAAAATTCTAAAATAAAGGCATTAAAAATCTGAATTATTTAATAAAATTTCAAAATAAAGGCATTAAAAATCAGAATTATTTGATGAAATTCCTAAATAAAGACATTAAGAATATGAATTTCAAATAAAATCTAAAAATAAACACATTCAAAATTTAAATTATTTAATAAAATTCCTAAATTAAGACATTAAAAATCTGAATTATTAGATGAAATTTCTAAATAAAGACATTAAAAATTAGAATAATTTGACGATATTCCTAAATACAGACATTAGGAATCTGAATTTTTAAATAAAATTTCAAAATAAAGACATTCAAAATCTGAATTATTTAATAAAATTCCTAAATAAAGGCATTAAAAATCAGAATTTTTTGATAAAACTCTTAAAAAAAGGCATTAAAAATCTGAATTATTTGATAAAATTCCAAAATATTTTGATAAAATTCCAAAATAAAGACATTACAAATCATAGCAATAAATTTAACATGAATATAAATCTTTAGATCACATAATTTTGATTTCTGCCATAATTATAACAAAGTATGACTTTGTCTTACATGGTAAAAAGGGCACAGAACATAGACCTTCTCTAGATATTTAAATTATTATAAAACTATAAATTTGTACCTGAAAATAAAAACATGTAAAGTACATTTACATTTTAAGAAGGGAACACCTGCATTGGGGGCGACGCAGTGGCGCAGTGAGTAGCACGTTCGCCTCACAGCAAGAAGGTCGTTGGGTCGATCCCTGGCTCAGTTGGCGTTTCTGTGTGGAGTTTGCATGTTCTCCCTGCGTTTGTGTGGGTTTCCTCCGGGTGCTCCGGTTTCCCCCACAGTCCAAAGACATGCGGTACAGGCGAATTGGGTAGGCTAAGTTGTCCGTAGTGTATGAGTGTGTGTGTGTGAATGTGTGTGTGGATGTTTCCTAGATATGGATTGCGGCTGGAAGGGCATCCGCTGCGTAAAAACCTGCTGGATAAGTTGGCGGTTTATTCCGCTGTGGCGACCCCGGATTAATAAAGGGACTAAGCCGACAAGAAAATGAATGAACAACTGCATTGGTTTTATAATTAAGTGACAGCACATTTTAAATTTTCAAGTAAGCATCATGACATATAACTAAATATTTACCAGTGAAAAGAAATTTGTTACACTGGGAACTAGCCATTGAAATGCTTGTGAAGACTTGAAGTAACACACTGACATCAGAGAACAAAAACAAGACTGTACAAGATATGGCATACACCATATAGACTCAAAATAAACATGGCATGATTATAAATGAATTTGTGCTAAAACTAATGAACTGACAACAGGTATATGTTTAATCGATTCAATTATTTTCCTGGTCTTATTCTGCATAAGCCCAAACTCTTTCCCGAAAGCCCTCCAAAGTAATAGATCATCCATCTTAAGTGACTGGCAGGGAATGCTTTTTCCCGACTGCTGATTTAGCAAATCTACATATTCAGACAGAAGACGCGAGGCTATACACTTTCAGCACTTCAGTGGACCTCATGACACAAAGCACAATCGCATAGTTAGAATGATTCAGAGCTGAAGAATCCTGTTTTTGTAACTCTTCCAAGCCCAAACAAACTCCCTCAAACAACATCTGCTGAAAATTGCTATAGCATTGCATGGATCCAGCTGACAGCTAATACGGTGATGGCAGATACGTCTAAACTATGCAGATGACTAAACGAGTCTGTCTCGGCTTAAAGAGACCAGGATCATCTTTGGTTCTTGACTCCCGCTGTTAAACATTTACAACTGCAGTGTCTAATCAAACAAGGAGATGAAGCAAGCCAAGAAACAGCTAAAAAATGTAGTTAATTCTTGGAAAGATAACACCTGGGGTTCTCAGAACAGTAGGCTGTGTTCCACAGTGACAGAGACTTTACAAGATTTTTGGGACAAATGAGAGCAAAAAGCCATAAAAGTTCCATAAAACTCTTTTTGCTCGTGCACGTTTCTGATTTATAGCTCCAGCAGTAACTGGACAACATGGTTGAAATATTGATAAAAAACATGACCACCAATTTTTAAGGTGTCAGTGCTTGAAGCCAGAGGTTTTCAGAGCCTGCTCCTACAGAAACCCGCAAGGAGTCCAAGAGGTGCTATTGGGGGCTGTAAAATGTTTTAAGAGCAAAGAAAAGATTTTACAAATCGCATTTTTGAGGACGGTAAAGTTTAAATGCAAAGTTAAAGGGATTGTTCATCCAAACATTTTAATTAACTTTGAGGCTTTAAAACTTTGTCTTTCTCTAAAGATATTTTGAAGAAAGCTGAAACTAGGGATGCTACAAATTGATTTTTGCAGCCGGTACAGAGTACCGACATGGTGATTGGCTGATATCCAAATACCGATTCTGATGCTTCAAGCTTTAAAAGGCATAAAGCACAAGCACATTCTCTTACCTAAGAGAATAATTTAAGGATGCTGCATATGTCGGCACCAATGGCCTAGTGGATGGTGCGTCAACACATAGCACCGAGGTGCTCGCGGCGACCCGAGTTCGTTTCCTTGCTGGAAGTCCTTTGCCGACACTTCCCCTATCGCTACTCCCCTTTCCTGTCCATATATTCTGCACTGACCTATCCTAATAAAGGTGAAAACCCCTAAAATTGGTTAGTGTACTTCTTTTTCTTAAAGGAAAAAGATATGGAAAGTAATTTGCTCCATATCAGGGGGAAAAAAAATTATCTTTCGGCAATTCATAATGATAAGATACGAAACCCTAATATGGATTAAGAAATCAAAATTGTTATAAAGTAATTAGTTTATTCATTCTTTCATTTTCCTTCAGCTTAGTCCCTTTATTCATCAGGGGTTGTCATAGCGGAGCGAACCGCCAACTTATCCAGCATATGTTTTCCACAGTGGATGACCTTCCAACTGAAACCAAGTACTGGGAAACATCCATACACACTCATACACTATGGACAATTTAGTTCATCAATTCACCTATTGCAAACGTTTTTGGACTGTGGGGGAAAGCGGAGCACCAGGAGGAAACCCACGCCAACACGGGCAGAACATGCAAACTCCACATAAAAACGCCAACTGACTCAGGCAGGACTCAAACCTGTGACCATCTTGCTGTGAGGTGACAGTGCTAAACACTGAGCCACTGTGTCCCTTATAAAGTAATTAACATGGTATAAAAAATTATGCTAGCTTATTATTTTAAAGTATGTTTTTACCAAAGTATATGTTTTTGTTATGTGAGGATAATGTGTTTACACAAAAAAATAAAAATTCCTTAAATTACAGCGCCTTACAGTATAAATAGGGTTTTAAAAATTTTAGCAATTAATATATTTTAGGAAGGGATTGAACTAGGGCTGTGTGATTAATCAAAATCGAATCGCAATTTGAAACGTTGCGATTAATTAAACGCAAGAGGCTGCAATATAAAATATATATGTAAACAAAAATAACGAATAACATCTGAGGTGAAGTGCTTCAAAACCAGTCCACTACAATTCTGAAAATGAAACCGTCTAGATGTTATGCGATAGTGTCGTGTGGCATCACAGACATGGTATCGGTTGTCGTGAACTACGCCATTACACAAGAAAAAACTATTGAATGTTGTGTCACGACATCCATTTGTCATTTACGACTCCTCACGACACCCTACGTCAAGGAAATCTGGCCGAAATTGTTTGATCTAACCGGGGCTTTATAACTAGCCAATTGAGTGAGCACACTTTCATTCTGCCCAATCAGAATTGCACAGCTAAACTACGCCCACAATAATAAAAAATAATACAAACAGAAAAGCGCTGACAAGTGAGATTATGGCACCTTCTGCTTCAGAAGCATTAATAGAATAATTAATATCAAAGAAAAACAGACACCAAACAAAAACAGGTTACTTTTTAAAGGATTACTGAGCTAAAGTTTGAATTAAATTAAAATCTGCTTGAAGCTTGAATTAAATCGTAAATCAAATCGCAATATCAGTCAAAAATAAATAAATAAATAATTTTTCTCCAAATCTCAGAGCCCTAAATTGAACTAAAATTCTTTCTTTACTAGATCTTAGAGTAAGAATAAAAGTAATGACTGCTGACTGTCACTACTGACTGTTCATCTTTTTCCATAAAATGAACATTTTGTTCATAAAGAACCAATCAGCTTTGTTGTAATTCTGCTATAAGCGAACACATACATGAATACTAAGCCTCAAATTATCTTTTAAAATAAGCAATCTGATTAAACATATAAGTTAACCAAGATGTGAGAGGCACTGAAGTTAAACGCGTGCATAATTACAGATATAATTCCTCCACAATGAATGAATGGAGAATACAATATGACATCTTGTTTACGGCTGTCACACTCGTGCTTAGAAAAGTTAAAGGGGCGTGGCTTTACACACGAGTAGTTGTTGTTTACATAAGCGTTTATTCTAAATAGCAACCGGAATGACAGAAATCTCAAAACTCATTTCAAAAGTTTAGATCCACGCACATTGAATTTCTCATCACAAAAGCTACATATTTCAACAGCTTAGACGTGGCCTAACATTTGGCGACGTGCAATGTAAATTAAGCAGACGGCTCTACATATATAAAAACCGCAACCGTCAATAATGTGAGACAGCCAGAGACTCGTGTAGAAAATATAATCATGAATACATTGACATGCGTTACCGTTTATAATCCGAAACAACAGCCAGCTAACAAGCAGCATTTATTAGCTAGCTCGCTAATCCGACGTTAACGTTAAACAAGTGTCGTCAGTGTCAACACAGTGTACAAAACAATACTCGTGTTGCGTGAATGTCTC